CACTCTTCGATTATTACTATAGGCGTTAAGGTGTGCTATATCATTTCATTCCGATGAAAATACAAAAAGCAAAAAGCAAAGCAAACACAGAACTAACTCAGCATTCTGGCATTAAAAGGGCGAAAAAATATGTCATTACACGAGACAAGCCACAAAAAGGATAGGAAAGGATGTTAAAAATACACAGAGCTTTATTTTTTTAATTTAACTCTTTCCCCTCCTAAGAGTTCAACATTGAGCAAAATGTCATCCAACATACAGAAGCATTGTCTAGATAGGTAAGGAAGACGATAGTCGACAGTAAAAGTCAAAATGGTGAACAGTCGTACACATTCACCAGACACACCGGTAAGTCACGTGCAGCTGGGTTAATTCACCACTGTAGGTGACCTTTACTACCTGACCTTTCTCGAGACCATAGTAACGGGCAATGGCATCTTTATGTGACATCCGAGGAAGCTGAAAAAAAAAAATAATAATAATAATTTTCTTTTTTTAAGAAAAATAATATACTTCACCCTAATAATTATTGGAAAGACTAACCTGCTTTTCAGTAATGCTGTACTTTCTGAGTAGTTCTTCTTTTTCCTGATTGGTCAACACTAGGTGTTTTGGCTTCAACTCGTGTTTCGTTATGTTGACGAGCAAATCAGTGATCTAAATAGAACAGGAACATTTCAAAAGAAAAAAAAAACACCAAGTTCAGTCTCTAAAATCAAAAGCAAATCAATTACAATTTAAAGTGACTTACATACTGCATGAAATTCCATGATAGATTAATGGAAAGACGAAAGAAATTATATTAAAACCAGACGCATAGTAAATTTTACCAAACTTCCTCGCTAGAACAGAAGGCAATTATGTCGACACAAAAGTCACATACATACAAAAGAGCAAGCGAAGATTAGATAACATTTTTTATCTATGGAAGAATTTGGTTAGGAAAAAACCACAACTGAGAATTATATTTGATTTTACGTTCACAACTATCCGGAAGAAACCTTGATGTCAAACATGTAACATTTATTCAATTAATATGTGTCTGTACATATTACATTTATAAAACAGAAAGTAGAAAAAATCTCTAACAGTAAAATTTAACTACCAAATTACCTGGAAAATTTCTACTTTGAAAGGGAAAAGTTCCACAGCTCTCATGGCCTGGGTGGTTATTTTGTTATGCACCACCAAAATCAGCCGATTAAGGCTATCCTTGTTAACTATCATAGACGAAATGCCACGAATAACATTAACCTTAACAACGGTTTGTCCACAGAATATAACCATAGCCTGCAATTAAGACATCAAACATTTGTGTAGATTCAAGTTCACTTGATGCCCCAAAACAAGTAGTTAAAAGACCAACACAAAAACCATAACCATAAAAGCCATATGTTACACAATCACATACCCAAGTTTCACAAGTTAAGATATAAATGTTGAATCTCATAACAATTTCAACTATAGAGTTGAAAGAGAAAGCAAACTAGAATGCAGAGAGAGAGAGAGAGAGAGAGAGAGAGAGAGAGGAAAAGACTCTGTAAAAAGTGAGTTCTATACAGCAGGCCAGGCAAGAACCATAAAAATAACAAGGTTTTGCATATTCTAGTATGAGTAATTAAATAAGAAGGAACTGGTTGTTCCTTCTCCTTTCAGGGCCTATCCGAAAGAGAATCCAGTACTTCTTGAGAATCCAGTACTTCTTGTTCGTGAAAATCTGAACTGGTTGTTCGCTGTTCAAGAATTCTTCTTTGGGCAGTTCATACCATCCATACATAGTGTCTTGATCTAAGATTTCCAATTTTCCGTGTTTCAGCAGTAACACTATTGTTGTTCGACGGAGCTAAGCTCCAAAATATAGAAGAAAGAAGCGTTTCCACCACTCTACCACCCAGCCAATTCTGTTCCACTTAATCCCTCTTTCATAGCCACCTATCTTTCCGGCTAAGGAATGGGAAATCTTTCTCCTATTACATGAATTTCATCCGGGAAAATCCATCTTTTTCTTAGCAATGCTTTTGTCATTTGATCTCTCTTTTGAAACTGTGAGAATGCATTGGATGGATGTGAGCAAAAAACACAGGCACAAAAGAAAGAACAATGCTGAAACTCCTAGCAAGACTCCAACTTCACTTCCTCCATCAAATCCCTCCTTCCTCATTGCATCTAGGGTTAACAATCTCGCCCCAAAAATCGAACCAGAAAAAAACAATCATAGGCAAAATTAAACAGAAAAAAAGAATTCAGGACAAAAAATCAAAGCCCTAATTTCGGAGAAAACCTTAATCGAAGGATCGTCCTTGTGAAGAGCGGAGATCCTCAAGTCATCGGCCACCGGCGTCTGCCCATGCTTGTTCCTAAATTCCTCGAGCGAGACATCTATTTCGCAACTGGGGACCGCGAAGCCACGGTCTTTGAGCATCTCGAGCATAGTCCTCCGAGCCAGATAGTATCGGTGGCTGTCGATGCTGCCGTTGTCCAGTAGGCTGCTCAGGCAGGTGCCGAAGTTCTCTTCGCCGCCGTCGTGCCCAGCTTCTCCATTCATTTTTCCCTTTTTTTTTATTTTTAGATTTTCAAGTGCAAGACACTCTTTTTCTTCTCGAATTTCTAGCTTTCACTTTTGCCTCAAAGACTGCAAATTTCGAATTTTGGGCACTTTATGAATTTTGTTGTGAAGTGAAGATAATTTTGATCCTTTCATTCTCCATTGATATCAAAAGGGATTTAATAACATCCCAACAAATCTTATAAAGTCTTAACAAATCAAAGTTAAATAAATTAAATTCATCATGAATACTATCAAATTTCTAAAAGTCATAAAAATTATGAATTAATACAACAGAATTTTTAAAGTTTTAAAAAAAAAAATTAAAAATCCCAAATTTTAGGATTAGAAGTCTCAAATAAATATACCTTCTCAATTGTGGAGGTGGGATTTAGAGTACAATTTTATATATTGTGTTAACTTTAAAAATTCTAACAAATCTTAAAAAAGTCTTAACAAATCTTAGGCTCAAATAAATTACATACTTAAATGATGGTCAATAAGTTTATATACTAGTGCATATCCCGTGCGATTCACGTGATACATATAATAAATCAATTATTTCTATAGGACTTGTACGTTTAGACAAAAAACGATAGACTTGGATCATTCATATTTCACATCTTTTAATAAGTGGCGTTTATTTAAGCCAAAAATTTAACATGTTAATTAATATATAATTCCGCTAACACGTCATACTAATATTTATTTAATTTTTTAATACATATTTATTCATTGATATAAGAAAAAATAAAAAATTTATTTATTCTCGTTCACCATATAATACTCAATTATTATTTTATTATAAAATTTACAGTCATATAATGTCATTTATAAAAGTTATAGAAGTAGTCTTCTTTATGTAATGAAATTCAAAATAAAATTTTGAGTATAAAATGTTTACAAAATACACACACATGTTTTTTAGAATTCAATTTTCTCATAATAATTCTTTTTTTAAAAAAAAAAATAGAAATTGTCAAAAAATAAATCCCTTACATAATCAAGAGATTTTTTCTAATTTTCATCCTAAGGCTATATAGTTTATTTAACATACTATACAATAGAAAAATATTTTACAATAAGTTCATTTTTGAAACATAACAAAAAAAAAGTGATAAAAACACTATCATAGTTGACAATAATATACAAATAAATAACATGTAGAAATTTTAAGGAATAACTAATATAATTTTATTATCTACCTATCAATAAAATCATTTAATGATGTGATCATTATCTTTTAAATGATAAATAATATTATTTTTTTAAAAAAATATTAGTTTTATATAATTAAATAAAGATTAAAAAATATTACTCGACAAATATTAATTATAATGGATATCAGTAAAATCATTGCATAAATTATTTAAGGAAAAAATCTTTAAGATCATATCTGGATAGCAAATGTAAATATACAAACATTTAATGCATATAGTAAAAAATTTCCAAATAAGGTTTTCATTAAATGTGTGTTGACTTTTTTGGTAAATAGGTTGGCCTTTAATATATATATAGATTTAAGAATTTAACTATAGCATTATTGACCCTTGCCATCTGATGTAGGGAAGAGCGTACGAGTGGAAAGGATAAAACGAGTAAACAAGATACTCTCTCATAAAGCACGCAAAACGAGATACTCTCTCGATAAAACTCACAATCACATCATATTTTTATTCAAAATCAATTATCAATAACAAAGAAAAAAGAGTCTTTAAATAAGACTCCTGAAGCTCTAAACCTAACTTGTTCATCAATCTACTAAATAATAATAATAATAATAATAATAATAATAATAATAATAATAATAATAATCTATCCGCATCACCATCCAATTGCAAAACACAAAAAAGATTTAACCTTTTTTTTTGTCTCATATGCATGTCATTTAGACAGCACATATCTATAAACTGAAACA